CTGAGCAATGTGACGGTCTGTGCAAGATTTGCCGTCATCGCAGCAAATGGTCTGAACAATGAGGTCCCTTTAGTATTGAATTGAACTTCGTCTATCCCATCATCTCCTTTGCTCTCAGCAATTATGTGTGCACTCGATCATCACTTACCTCTGTCATATGTGAAGCTCTGCTATCTACTGTGTGTATGGCTGATTGGCTATGAGTCACAAAATGAGTAGCCATGCCAGTTTCGTATCGCAGAACAACAGACGTACTTTTCGTGGTGCGAGCAAATGTAATACATTTTTTATGAGGGACTATTTACGGCCGGATTCGGAGCAGTTTTTTGTTATCACGAAGTACATATTTGTTCTCTCATGCTGAGTTCAATGAAGGGCGCTGCTGAAGTTAATTCTAAGAAGCCCGCAATCTCTTGGCTCTTCAGCTACGGCTCTATGCAAATTGGGTGCAATCCATACGTTGATTTCTTCAATGATATCGAACTGAGCGAGTGATCAGGAAAACTATGTGAGAAACTGACAAATTTCTTTTTGCTGAAAGGTTAATTTTCGGCTGCTCTATGGGAGGCGTCGTGTTCAACTAACAACTGTCAAGCAAAAGGATTTTTTGCTTCATTTTTCTGCCGTCGTCCCGACATTCACTTAATGAAGCTCCATCAAAGAGTTGTTGAGAAATGCACTCCAAAATCCGATAAAAATTAATTAATGACAGGGCTAGGTTTGGGACTGAATGAGTTGTGTGCCTTTAAGATTTCACACAATTTGATGTTTCCACATCTACGAAGTTAACTCTCGCAAATTGATGAACACATCCAACACGCAGGTGTCACAGCAACATCACATCCCACTGATCACAAAGTATTCAGACTGAGTTAGAAACTACCCTAAAATTCCATAGGTAAGAGCGGTTTATCGACTGGGTCACAATAAATCCTACTTTATAAAATTCGCTAAGGGTGTGTGTGTGTCGGTGTGTGTGTGTCGGTGTGTGTGTGTCGGTGTATGTGTCGGTGTGTGTGTGTGTCGGTGTGTGTGTATGTCGGTGTGTGTGTCGGTGTGTGTGTATGCCGGTGTGTGTGTCGGTGTGTGTGTGGCGGTGTGTGTGTGTCGGTGTGTGTG